CATCTGCTTGACGTTCCCCTCCAGGCCTCCGTTGGCCTTCTGCACTACTCCGTCCCAACTACACTTTTTCTTCTTTTTCACTAGTCCCTTCACCTGTTTTCTCTTGGCCCTGTACTTTTCCTAACTCTCCTCGGACGCCTCATTCAGGTACTACGTTCCCCTATTTCTTCTTTGAGCTCGTCATCCCACCACTTAACCGATACCCCACATCGTACCACCTTCTTTCCCACTACTCTCTGCCGCTGCGTTCACGATGGAATCCCACCCTTCAATCACCCTGTCCCCTGCTGCTTGTACGTCTACCTGTTCGTCTTCGACGCTTCTCAGCAGTTTCCTGAAGGGTTCTACACTACCAACCAGTCCTTTGTGGAATTCATCCCGTGTCCCCTCGTCTCCCAAACGCTCTCCTTTCCACCGGAACACTTTCCTCTGTTTCTTACTCTTGATCTTTCTAGATCGGTCGATGTTTGCCCATATAAGGAAGTGGTCGGTCGAACCTATATCTATCGCACTTACGTGCAGCTCTGGGATCTGCGTGCTCCCCCTATCTACCAGGATGTAGTCGAGGATTGAGTATTCATTGTAAACTGCCCGTTGCCTGGTGAAATCCGGCTTATCGCATTCCCTCCTACTATTGCTGTACGTGCTGCTGCTGGCGCTGCCGTGCGGACGTGCACTCCTTGCTCCCCTCGCTAATAAACTGCGAGGCGTTTGGTCGCACTTGGCCTACAGCATGTGTTTGCGTCAATTGTGTGTCTGTTTCGGGGGTGGGTGCATCGACCGAATATATCCGAAACAACGCAACTAAAAAACACGCTCATGACTGCGGGTGCCTGTGCTAATACTTGCACTACGTATATGACCTGCTCTCGACACCACCTACCCCGCGATTCATTCAACCAGCGATGCTTGCTTGCCGTGCTACTTGGTAGGAGAATTGAACTATCTCGGTGCTTTCGATGCCTGTTCTCTCTAGATTAGAGGTACAACAGAACGAGGCCCCCCTTGAAGCGACAAACTCCGAGCTTCGATATTCGAATTTCTAGTGGCATCGATGAGACGGGTGTGTTTCTGCGTTGCTTCTACATGTATTCCAGGATATAACAATCTTGGTTCGTGCGGACGATAAAAATTATCTCTGCGCTTCACGATGGCCTCCTCGGCCTGTCAGGGAGATGCTCGGACAAATATCCCGTAGTGCGCCCGACGAACCTATGGGCACATATTCTGATAATATGTCGTCATGCTCTTGCATTTTCCAATCTCACAACTGGCAGGAAATGGTACAAAGCATAAAGCGAAGCTCATTTCCTTTTCGTTGGGGCGGGTAGAGTTGAGATGAAAACCTCAGGAATCTGATGCGCAAGGCAAAACAGCTCGAATTTGCTCAAGGTATGAGGATTGGAGTTCTTGATTGAATTCGCAGCGCCAGTTCAGTTTATGCTTGGCTGTCTGCCACCCCGTGGTTGTCGCCATGGTTGGACCCAAACCTATCACGTGCGTTCATTTCCCAGAGACTTTGCCAACAGGCAGCAGCAAACCATATCGAAAAATCCTCCTTCTGCTTGCAATTCCGCGCAACATGCCTCTCGGACAAGACGCTTCGGATTTTCCTGTCATCTCACACTGCGTACGTCAGAGGTACATGAGATAGCACGGCTGCCAACCTCATCAAGCCTCGGTGCCCATGACCGCTCGAAACCGATAGATCAGAGGCGATTCCACCCACAGAAAACTGTCCACCTGGAGACACGCCGCTTAGTGTGACCATATCTGGAATGATCGCAAGGAACGGGCCTAGGGAAATAATCCCCAGTGGCACGGACCTACACGAGAATAGAATTGCACGTACGGGTGCATGACCAAGTTTCTAGAGACACGTGAATTCCTTCGCTCCACAACAGACGGCCGCGTATTCTCAAAGGCGATGCCCTACCCCATCTTCTTGTGCGACCAGAGCATGGTTCCACGAAAGCCAAGCTGATTGGCCAGCACGACATCCTATCTCTGCGGTCGGGGCATGGGAGGAGACGCATGCCTATTCACGTGCAGCCCTCACCCTGTTGTGGGCTTTATACATCCATCCGCTCTTGCCAGGATCTCTCTTCATCCAGATTTCAGGCCGCCCATAGGTTTCCGTCGCATGAAGTAGTCAACGTGGTACGTGACAGCCCGGAAGAGACAATGGAAGAAAGAGTTTTTGCGTAGGACTAAACATCAACTGTACATCAGTTTGGTTGAAAGCTCTCGCGATCGCCGTTCATTGAACCGTTGGCCAATGGCCCGCTTTGTGGTGTTCCCCCAAGTATGCAAGGGGGACACGCCTCATCCGTACAAACATCATATCACAGCACGGCCAGGGGGGCACAATGGTGTCGTTGTATTTACCCAGCGGCGACTGCTAGCCCGCACAAGATGTCCAACGTGGCCATCAGGGTACGGACCAGGTCGTCGGAGGCATGGTTCCAAGAGGCCTTCTCCGGTGGCTCGAGAAAGAACCGCAGAGCCTCTTGGACCTGTGATGAAGCCAAAGCAAACATGCGAAGTGGAGGTTTAGTCTAGGGCGTGCGATGCTCGTGTTCGTTGCTTTACTCGGGAACGGAGCTCTCACTTTCCCACAACGATACTGGCGTTTCGGAGGTATCCTTTGTGGCTGTGGTGGTGAAAACCAAAAGGCCGAGCTGGTTGAGAACACGAAGGGTCACGAAAAAACACCATCTATTCACCTCTTGCTCTGCCGTAGGCTCGGCTTGAAACTTACGGCCGGGAAGACATGAAGATAACGTTTGAAACCGTGACGGAGAGGCAAACTCAGAGGAGCTTCGATCCGTTGGTGACCGGTATTGTACAGCAGAACAGTGCACGCAACCGGGCTCGCCTATAGACACGTAAGCAAAGAGCATGCAAACGATCCCATGGAGGTCAATCGCTAGCGTGACTTGTAAGTGCTCAAGATCAATGAGTGCTGGTTGCACAACACAAATTCATCGCACGGCCTAGGTGAGTCGCCTATACCAAGGGCGTATTCAACGCACACCTCTAAGACTCACACACGTGGCGGTTTCGATTGCTACTCTCGAAGTTCTTGTCGTCATCCGTCCGACCTTGACCTCGACGGGGGTAAACACTCAACACCAAGCTTGCCTTTGGAGATGCCATGGTGAGTGGTTTGGCACCCTGCCTCCCATCCTCTCTCGCCCGGATCGGCTCTCCCCTGTCCTCGAAACCGGCAACCTCCCTTGCGCGCTTGAGGACGTCGTCTGAGATTCCTATCCTCCCGGTCAACATTACCAAGCATGCATTCGCCCACGCGCCACCAAGTAAAGATGCAGATAAGCAGTTCGGTAACAAACACGAAAGCGTATTGTGATTCTGCGTTGCAAAGCAGTGTGGGAAGTGCAACCCTGGAAGGGATATGTAAGATCGAGGCGCTTTGAGGTGGAAGTGACCCTACTTCTTCGACGTCCTCTCGCTTTAGGCAGACTTTTCTTGACTCGGTCCTTCCTGGAACGAAAGAACCTGCGAGGGAGTGGTGCTACGGCTTTCGCTGGTGTTAAACACGCGTTTGATGCTGTCACGATCACATACCGGTCTTGGTGTCTATTCAAGTTTGGGAGGCATGTTCAATCTATCCAGCGTGTCATTTTTCCGTGGGTTTCTCTGCTTACATAGGAGTCGAACTGTTATGGTCGAAGACACCCCTCAGCATGAATCATGCCAACGAAGAGCTACGATGATAAAACTGCTTTCAAACATTCCTAACGCTTCACTGTTCAACCGCACACTACTTGATTACTTCGCTCTCTCTGCTTACTATTACACCAGATCATCAACACATTGATTCCGTGGAGAGGGAAAGCACCATCCCTGCTAGGCGCCAACGGGATGACATCGAGAAGGGATTATCCGGTTCGAAAACCGTTAGACTAACTCAGCCCAACCTTACCGGCGACTTGCGCGCAGGCAATGCCATGAGAGTTCGAAATTGTTCCGGGCTTGAGCTTGAACAGGGGGGTAGGCGGGACGAAAGCCCACTCCTCGCCTATCGTGCCCTCTCCTTTCCCCAGCCCATCGCCCTTGAACACAACGAAGGCGGGGTGCACATGTGAGAAGGACACAAGGAAAGTCGCGGTGCCATGGCAGGCTTTGAGTCGGTTTCCCTATAGCACCAAAGTTTTTCTTGTCACCTTTGCCCCTTCGTGGGTTCATCGTGATGATTCATCATGTCAGTATATCATGGCGGTTTCCGCTCTTCAAAAAGTACCGTCTGCTTTGCGGGAAGACGACGATCCGTCTGCATATGCGCTCGGCGAAAAGCAATATGTTCGAATGGGCGGCACGGACAATGAGCAAAAAAATGCGTCGGCGCAAAGTCGGGCTGTCACAGACCACGGCGAAGGCAATGCGCCCTGTCGGAACTTCGTTTGTACCGTGACGAAGGTCGAACGCACGCCTGCGTGAAGGTAGATATTCCACACCCGATAAGGTCAGTGCTTTTCTTGTGTATCCTCTCGCTTTGCTCACTGGTAGGAATGCCTTTCATGGAAACAACCCCAAAGCAACCGGGGGGGTGTCATGTTGTGCGTTTCCAATTCCGAGAGGTATACGTAGGATCTCTCCGGAGTGGCTCATGAGGGCACAGTATTTTCAAGGGAATGGTGCAAGATGGTATATGCAGGCAGCAGGCCCGGCCGGCAGCTGGCTGCCAGCTGCCGGTTTGTGGCATATCCCAAGCTCAACAGCGCACACAGATGAC